GGGCGGAAGACCATGGGAGGTGGTCAGGGCTTGGGGTTTCATGCTCAGCTGCAATGATGTCACCGAGGTCCCAGCAAACGTGGATGCAAACACTCTATGCTCTCCCAGGCCCACTTCTATACTTTGATTCCTGCTCTGCCCCTCAGGTTTTGCTCAAGACGGCAACTTCAAGGTCAGAGCGAGCTTGGCCCCAGTCCCAGGTCTCAATGCCGAGCCCCTCCTCTGCAGCCGCTGCCACAGCAACACAACGCCCCCCTTCCCCCAAACACACACGCACAGTGCAACTCCTCGCTTATGCATGAACACCCACGTGCAACTGCGCATGCGGACTGCACTAAACGTGCGAGCACGAACACGCACGCACATGCCGCAGGTGCAGTAGCAGCAGCATCAGCACTAGCAGCGGCGGCAGCAGCAGCAGCAGCAGCAGCTGCCGCAGCAGCAACAGTAGCAGCAGCCCTGGGGGTGTCCAATCCTCAATGCCGCCGCTGCTGTTTCCAGCTAGCGGTGTTAGCTGGCCAGGCACCAGTGTCAGCCACGAGTGTGCGCCGGCCATGACGGGCTGCTCTGACGCACCTTCATCGTATCCACTGGGTCCTCCTCAGGTCGCGTTTGGCGTGGCGAGCATCCTGAGCCCGGGCAACACCTTTGGGGTCGTGTTCACCCCCGGCCCACAAGCACCCAAGCGGCCCCCTCCCAAGCTGGCGGCAGCGCCCAACCTCCCTGTGGGCTGCAAGTACTATACAGTGGGTGGCCCTGCGTGCTTGGCTTGCTCCATCGTGCTGCCTCGTTCCACGGGCAAGATGTAGCAAGGGCAATATTGCACCCATGTCTGGTTGAATGTTACACCGGCACCAACACTTTGCTTGTGCAAGGCTGCCGCTGGGCCTGTGAGGTGCAAATCATCACTTGCAGCGCCTTGCAGTCGCCCTCTTTTGGAGCCAGCGGAGCTCCTGTCGCACGGCAGCCTCCCCCCCCCTTTCCTCCCCCTTCCCTCCCTGCTTCCCAGGCCCTGCCTGGTGACTACCTGTCAGGCGTTGCTGACCGCGTTGGGGTGCGGCTTGAGAAGCTGCTGCTGGACAACCGGGACACACTGAGGGACCCGGACAGCCCCCTGGCGGGCAAGAGGCTCGCAGTCTGCCCCCTGGGGGTGTCGCCGCCAGCACAGGCCGTGGCGCCAGCCCCTGGCCCTGCACTTGACCCTGCCCCCGCCCCGGCCCCTGTGGCTGTCACAATATTGCTGGCAGAGCCGTCGCCATTGGAGTCGCGCGCGACGCAGCTGCGGTCTCTGCTGGGGTTGAGGGCTGCAGTGGACAGGCAAGGGACGCTGGCCTGGTCGGCTGAGAAGGGCGCTGACGCCGGGTACTGCAGCTTCTACGGCATCACGTGTGACACACAGGGCGACGTGTCGAAGATTGTGCTAGCCCAGGCCAAGCTGGGGGGGACGCTACCTCCTGCGAGTGTTCTCAATGGTCTGTCAGCGCTGACAGGGATCGACCTTGGTGCCACCAGCATCAGCGGTACCCTGCCCTCAGACTGGGGCGCCCTGGCCCAGCTGGAGGACATCAGGATCGGCGGCAACCCCGGCATCACAGGCTCACTCCTCCCCAGCTGGGCGGGGCTGACGCGCCTAAAGGTCTTATACCTCAAGTGAGTCCATTCAATAGCGCCTGACGCTGTGCGCATTGAGTGTTTGCTGCATCTTTTTTGTTTGAGGGAGGGACAGGGTGGCAGGGGCGTGGCCGCCAGCGGGGAATGAACGGGGGGACGGGAGGTGTCACATGGACTGACGACGGGGCCTCTCCTGCGCGGTAAGGGGTTGATGAATGCGGGG